TCTTCCAATGTTAGCAGTGATGCAACTCTTTTAATATTCTTAGCTTCATTCTGCCAAACACTTCATTCACCATCACTCAGAGACTGCCACTTTGTAGCAACAAAGGTCATTTTCTCAGATTTTGACTCAATTTCCTTACATTCATCTACAAAGAAAATGACATACACTGTAGTCATTGATGAACATTCCTCACTAATTAGCCAGTTGCCAGTGAGGATGGTGGCAACAAGCAGCTCGATAGATTAAGCTGCTCAACAGATTTTACCCTGTCTAGCACCAGATGATTGCAGTGGCATAGCCAGCCCGACTATTTTGATCATGCTATGCAAATTTTTCTATGTTTATATAGATTTTTAAATAAATGAAAATATTGCATTGCGTGACCAAATAGTTGGGCTGGCTACGCCACTGAATTGCACTCATCATGCAAAAACTCCAGCCAGCAATGGGACCGGGTTAATCTAATCTCCCAAAGATGCTGTATTACTAACACCAGTCGTAGAACTTACAGCTAGTTACAAATACATGTAGTAAAAATAAGCTTTTTTATCCAGAGCTTTTCATATTGCTATGCTCTCATACCTGAGCTGAGGAGTTTTGATGTAAATATGTTGAAACCTGAAGTTGAACGCTTTAGCGGAGGACATGGCTTTCTGATTGCCCAGTATCTTCTTGCATGGTTTCTACTCCTTCCACTACTTTTCTTTTCCTTCTCTCATTTCCAATCCACTTCTGTAACATTATATATGTAATATATTTTTACTTTTAATTAGCCAAATTTGAAATTTCCAAACACTGTATAAATTGTTTTTCTAGCCAATTTAAAGTAGGTTAGGTAGGGGAAGGGACATGTCATGGCAAAAGACTTTCGATGGGAAAGCAAAATCACATGGTGATAATAATAATACTACATAAAGAACACATTTATCATTCGTTGGAATCTGCCAGGGCAGTAAGTATAACAATACAACAATACAACTTTATTTCACTCTTTGACAGAAAAATACAGAATAATTATTTTTGAAATTAATAATATATATAGGTAGAATTCATAATTTACATATATATTTTTAGAGCATGGAAGCAAAATGAACCGTTAGGTTTTCTAGTTAGCTTCCATTGTTATTCTTATTAATTAAAATAGTGTACTGTCTGACAATTGAAGAAAATATTTTCGTTTCTCATTAGTTTATGTAATGAAGAATATGCATAATAATACAAATTTCAATTAATTTGTTGTTAGACCAATAAGTGAGCTTTAGCTTGCTTAAGGAAGGAAAACAATGGTAGATTTTAATTATTCTGGAAGATTCTTCCATATATCAATTGCTCCAAAAAAATGGACTGTTTACCAGTATTAGTTCAAACATATGGTTTATACATGTTTAAATAAGATTAATATAGAGTATCGAAAATTTGTGGCAACAAACCTTTGTGCCAAGCATAAATAAATTTCAATACATGCAGGCGATATGCATTTTGAACTGTTAAAATATCAAGCAGATTTAACAGTGGGAGAGCACTTGCAGTATCTTAGCCGTATAGCTTGACAAAAAATATTAACCTAATTGCATGATTCTGTTTTACTTGTACTTTACGTATAAGAGATATACAAGCGCTGCCCCATGCCAAAATTGCATATGATATATATGGATAAATAACACTATAATAAATTTGTGATAATTGCTTGATAGAGAGATAGTGCCTTAGTTTGGATAGGATGCCAATGCCTCGCGAAATTCGAGAACATATATAAGGTATATGATACCTCCAAGATATCGCGTCATCTAGCACTATACCCAAACACTTAATATGATTTTTCCGGATTAACTTGGTAAATGTTCCATCATTATTTCTAATTTGTATCGTAGTTGAAAAATCTTTTTTCCTAATGGGCTTTATGATCATGTAGCTCGTTTTACTAATATTAATTGATAATTTATTAACATCACACCATTCTTTGACCTTATAAAGTTCAGAGTTCATCAAAGCTTCAAGGGTTTTTAGATTACTAGAGGTAGCAAAAATATTTGTATCATCTGCAAAAATTTTAAATAGTAATTTATCGGAGGAATTAGGAAGATCATTTATATAAATTAAAAACAACAATGGTCCAAGTGTACTCCCCTGAGGAATCCCACAAATCATAGTCTGTCTGGTTGATTCAAAATCTCCAAGTGCTACGTATTGTTTTCTATTACTAAGATCATTTGTAAACCATTGTAGAGGGATACCTCTTATACCATAAGCCTCCAATTTGGTCAATAGTATATTGTGATTCACAGTATCAAATGCTTTAGAAAAATCTATAAAAAGTCCGCAAGTATACAGATTTTCATTGATTGACTTTCTTAATGTTTCTGTGATTTCAGTTATTGCCAGTGTAGTTGAGTGACCTTTACGAAATCCAAATTGAAACTCAGTAAGGATATGTTCTTTCTCAATATAAGACATGAGTTGCTTATAAACCATTTTTTCAAATACATGAGTAAACACAGACAGAGTTGAAATAGGTCGACAGTTTGTCGGGTCAGATGTCTCGCCACCCTTATTTATCGGTGTGATTTTTGAAATCTTTAAAATCTCAGGGACAGTACCTTGAAGTAAAGATTGATTAAATATTTCTGTAAGTGGTTCAGTTATATAATCACATGCTAATTTTATGATTTTTTTGTGGTAAACCAATTACAGATTTTGTTACATTTAAATTCATAATTACAGTCAAATCCGGTTCACCTTTGACCCCAACATTGCTATATTGTTATTCAATTTTGCAATTTTGATTGGCATGTTGTGTGGCGCAATTACCAACCGTCGCGGTAAATTGCAATTTTCATCTTAGGTGTGTCTCGTTCGCTGGGGGAAACATGTTTCAACTTTTAATCAATTATTTAGGCTATAGATACGCGAATATTTTTCTTGAGACACCGATAAAAGAATACAGTTTACTTGTAGAACGTATAAGATCTGCTATACCTTGTTTTAACGAATTTCAAGACGACGAAATACGAATAGCATACCAAGATATTCAATCGGGGTGTTTCATAAATATTCATGCTAATGCTGATGAAAAATTGCACCTGGCAGAGACTTTCAACAACGTTGTTACTATTGGAGCGTATGATAGAATTAATTTGAAAGTTTGGAGAAGTGATTCGCCAGTGCTTGTTAGAAAAAAGTCACTCAGCGATCTCAACGAAACTACATTTTCGAGTGTCAATAACAAGATCGTATTTGGACCAGAATATGGTGGTGCTACGTCTACGGCTACGTATACTCTTCCCAAAAAGCTAAATTTTACAGCAGATGTGTCCGAAGTACAAGGATGGAAAGAAAATAAAACTGAACAAATATCTAACAAATTACAATGGCTGGAAGATAAAAAGATTGCTCTTGAAACCCATTTGTGCGAACTTGAAGTAGAAGTGCCAATGCCAATGAACGCTGGGACTTACAGAACAATTTGTAGCAATTGTCATATTCGCGGACATAGAGCGGACGGTAATCGTAATAACAATGCTTGTTACGCTCCTGTTTGCACTTCTTATTTTTCTTGTGGGCAAATTAAGAAACATCCGGAACATCTTGATGAAGTAAAGAATATAAAAAAGCAATTGAAAGATTTGTCTAAGGAAATTAACAATGTAAGCTCGGAGAAGAAAAACCTGATTGCCTTTCAATCCAAAAGTATATCAGCTTTCGCAACAGCTGTGACTCCTCGTCTTACCCGAGCGTTCCCGGACAAATACTCTTTAAAAACTGCAAAGGGTAAGCTAGAATTGCAAAAGGACATGGCAAAATTACGAGTTGCTTGCAATAATAAAGTTCCAGAAAACACGGGGGACGACAAGTCTTTGTTTGAGTTATTGTTGGAGAAGGAAACAAAAACAATAAACGAAGTTAAAAATTCTTGTAATTCTACAAGTTCATCAACCGTTATGTGTAATTCTATCAATGTTGCCGTTTCACCGCTTACATGCAAAGGAGGTAAAAGGGCGAAAAGAAAATGAGATTCAACCGATTCAAGTACTGATGAAAGTGACAGCTCCTCGTACAGTTCATCCGACGGTGCGAAGGCGATGAAATGGAGCAAGAAGTCCCGAAAGGTGCCGAAAAAATGACACAGAAAGAGAAGAAAACAATCTCGTCGTGGCAAACATTGTCACAAGGTTAAAGAGCGAAGACATCACCGCCGCAGTAGCAGTAGTTCTGATTCGGAAAGTGAAAGCTTCGAGGAATCTCATCTGAACCTGAACAACAAATATCAACGCGATATTCAAGGTCAAGACAAGTCGCATACGAATGATTCGCAAACTCCAAATAATAAACCAGATGGCCCAGATCAATGCTCCTTAGAAGAACTAGCCACCATAGCCGTGGCAATTAATAATAAAAAACAAGTATTATAGCTGGATATTGTTTTCAGGTTTGGACAAGCATGCCACATTTGATTTGTATGCTTTGACATTGTGTTTGACAACAAAATAACATGTCGTTGAGTTATAAGTACAGTACGTCAGCATTTATTATATTTATTGCGTGGAGTTTATGGTTTACCGATTTATATTATCGGGTTTTGCTTAAAGCTAATGTATAACGTGTTACTGTAATTAGAAAAATAATGTGCCATATATATATATATATGCATCATTATAGTTCATGCTTGTTTTATTCAGAGGACAAGCTTTCATCTGTAAGATTCATATTCCTTTATAATATTATAAACAAAGAAAGCTCATTGATTAGAGTATACTCTTATTGTCTCCGCGTATCAATTTTGTTAGGAAAGGCTCATCTTGGCTTGAGGCAAAAAATTAAAAATCGTTTGGCTAAAATAAACTATACATATGCCACTAAATGATTGCTGCTGCATGCATGTTGTCTATATAAATACGAATACAATACAATACTAGTAACATGAAGGTTGATATTACATTTTCCAAGTTTATACATTTTCCAAGTCAAACACTCTTTCCTATAATACTATATTACAGCCGGTTAATCAACATAATAAACAAAATGAAAATCAATGTCCATGTTCCAACATACAACAATAAAGACACAGTATATATCAAAATTATAAATACTCAGATGTTAAATCCACAATGTTGAAAAAACTTGTGGGAAACTTCTGGAGTGACTGTTTGTAAGCCCTCCATTATAGCAAGCTCTGTGAAATTTATTGCATATTGTTCGTGCTGGCGTAAGAATAATTTCATATTTCGGAAGCAGAACTCACAGGTATTAAAATCTGGGCTATATGGTGGTTGGAAAATCAAATGAACTCCACGATTCGCTAACATTGTCCGTAACTCATTTTCAGCCATTGCTGCGTGATGAAACCCGCAATTGTCCATTACAACCATGTCGCCATCACTAAGAACGGGATTTCCATACACATCATCAACAAGTTGTAGACATTCATCAAAGAAATGTAACATTTCTAGACCGTTAGAAGGCCCTTCTAATATGTTGAAATAGTCCCCACCAAAACGACTATGCAAAAGATTAACCGTATAATTACAGTTCGAAGAATATCTTTGAACTTCTAAGGCTTTCTCGCCCCGTTTTGCGTGGCCATATGTTCGATTTGGCGTTGTTTTCGTGACTGAGGATTCGTCGAAGAAGTGTACTTTCGATGGATCTGCTCCGGACATAAACATAACGTAATCAAGTGTTCTGGCGAGGTTTGGCATTGTGAGAGATTCGGCAGGAATGGGAGATAATTTCTTAAATGTAAAGTTAAGATCTTTGTTTAAAATTCTGGATATTGTTGTGCGCGAAGGAACTTTATCCGCAGCACAAACGCCAAGGTTGAGCATTTCGCTTTGGATTTCGGCTGCATATGTGCTTGGCTTCGTTATCTTGGTGTACTCCACGAATTCGACAACTTCTGGCAAACTGACGCTTCTTGGTTTTATCCCTCGTCCGGGTATCAATGTTCCTCTTTCAAGAAATTTATTTGTTATATTTGAGACTGTTTGTTTCGACAACATTAACTGTCTCGAAATTTCTGTTTGATTACAGCCTGTGTGTGGCCCACAAAGCAATAATTTCATCTCTTTTGCTTCGAGAAAGTGCCATTTCCTTCAAAATTGTTTTGCTAGTGCTATGGTGCTGTGACTTCGAAGTTCAAATATGAAAATTGCAATTTACTGCGACGGTTGGAAATTGCGCCACACAACATGCCAATCAAAATTGCAAAATTGAATAACAATATAGCAATGTTGGGGTCAAAGGTGAACCGGATTTGACGGTAAATCTTGTGTCTCATTAGAATCTATAGGTCGAAACATAAAGTTGTGCGGAAAAGACCTTTTAATATAACTAGCAGGTGTAGTGAAATGGCTTGGTATACTTTCAGCTAATTGGTTACCCAGATTTATATAATGATTATTTAACTGATTGGCAATGCTTGTTTTATTTGTATATAGTTTGTTTTTATATAGTAACTTATTTATTATAGGTTGTGAAGAACTCTTTTTTCTATTTATAACCATCCCTATTGTCTTCCAGATTGTTTTCATGTTTCCACTATTAAATTCAAATTTATTTTTAAAATAATTCTTTCTTGCAATTTCTTTCAATTTATTTAATTTATTACTGTAGGTTTTATACTTTCTTACTTTAATTGGGTCATTAGTTAAATAATGCGTTTTAAACAACTTTTGTTTATGCTTTATGGAAACTAATATGGCGTTTGTTATCCAAGGTTTATTTCTCCTTTTCCTTTTTTTGTTCGATAACCTGCAAACCGGTGCATGCTTATCAGTGATGTCTTGAAGTATGTCTATAATGTTGTTCATACTAGTATCAACACCATCTTCACTAATCAAGCTCGAGAAATTAATATTTTGAATGTCATTAATAAAATTATCTTTACTAAAATTGGAGAAGTCTTGAGAGTACTGAATACGATCTATTTCAGGTAGTTTATTAGATATTGTGCAGAATACTGGCAAGTGGTCAGTAATGTCAGCTGTGCATATTCCAGCCTTAATAACTTTTTCGGGAACATTAGTATAAATATGATCAATTAAGGTTGCTGTGTTATCAGTTATACGAGTAGGTTTTGTAATCAACGGCATAAATCCCATTTCAAGAATCATATCAAGATACTTGGATGTGAAATTATCTACATTGTACTGTAAGAAATTAATATTTATATCGCCTATTAATATAACTTCGTGACCTTTGTTATTCAGCGTTACTAGTGTATTCCTTAGGAGTTCATAAAAAAGATTACAATCACTATTTGGATGTCTATAAATACAACCAATTACAGTGTTTTTTTTGTTTTTATTTTCAATTTCTATCCAGCAGGATTCGACACCTTCCAAACATATTTCTAAACTCTTCCTCTGAAGAAACTCTAGTTGTTTATCCACATAGAGACCTACACCTCCAGCCAATGTTTTCGAGTTAGACCCCAGAAACCTATAGCCATTTAAGTTTATGTTGTATAAATTATTTTCTTTTAATTTTGTTTCAGAAACAGCTATGATCTTTGGTATTTCCTTAAGTGAGCACAAAAGTTCTTCCAATAATAATATATTTTTTGGTAAACTTTCCATGTTACAGTGTAAAATAGAAAAACCGTTTTTATTCTTAGAGTGGTCAATTAGAATTCCGGTTTTTTTAACACTATAGTAATTCGATTCAATATAATTTTCTATTGCATTTTCTTGATCAAAATTTCCTTCAGGACTTTTGATTATATCTTTAAATAAGTCATTAGTTTCTAGCAAAGAATGTAGGTTAGAATCAAGCCATGCCCCTGTTACTCTGAGGAACTCCTGGTGATTTAAATCAAAGAATGGCTCTTTACAATAATTGGCACTCATTAGTTAGCATATCTTTAATTTAAATAATAAAATAATAATAGACTTGATTATACCTAAATGCTTCATCGAGTACGCGGTCTTAATTGCCTTCCTGATGCTTGACTTGCTTCAAACTTTGAAAAATCGTCTTCCGTCTCGAACGCGAATATAGGTGTATTTTCTAATTCTCGAGTATAGACTTTCCCATTGTTGGTCCATATAAATCGCCAGTTTAACCTCTTTTGTATCTGGTTGACGTTTCCAAAAAGTTTCTTTCTATAGGGCGTTAATGATTCGGATATAAAAACTTTGTTTGAGGAATTTAGTGATAGATCTGGCAGGTCCTTTGCTTTAACATTTGCCAAGTTCTTTCGTTTGGAATAAAAATTATTCCTAACAGATCGGCGAGTGAATTTAACGATGAGTTTTGGCGGTGCGTTGGTATTATAAGTAGGCAAAGGATGGGCAATTGATATATCTTCCACATTTACGGGCACGCCAATAGCTTTTCCGACCGATTTAACAATGTCGTCTGCCGAGCAATTAGTTGATTCCTTAATGCCAGTTATTTCCAAGCAATCTCGTCGTAGATATTGTGATAATTCTTCTATTTGAGATGTGGCTTGTAGGGAACGTTGATAAACTTCTTTCAAATCGTTTGTAATGCTCTTAATCTTAGCATTTTGGCGTTGAACGTTCTCATTAGTTGACTTGATTTGGTTCAGCAACTCGTCATATTTATCCGATAAAAACTTTACCATGTTATTTAATTCTTCAAATGTATTCTGCATAAGTGATAGCTTTTGGTGTATTGGTGCTAGTTCTTTCTTCAAGAGCTCTTTAAGTTGTACTAAAGTAGCCATAATAGCTATTTAGTGTCAAAAAATGGCGGAGCGAAATGATAGACATCCGACCACCATGATGACATGTCATGATTCAGTATATTATATACAGTATATTATTCACAGTTGATCACATTCGGCGCGGCCATACTTTATTATACTATGAATTTATGCAAATTAAGCAATGGATTATTCATGAATTTTAATAAACTGTCCGGAATTTTTATACCAGCACAATGTCAATACCTATTGTCCTATTTCAATAACTGTATTAACGAGACAGTAGTATCAGTGTGAATGAGCGAAAGGGGATGTGTATGTGACTATGTCATACGCGATTTTTATCAAAAAAATATTAAACAATATGATTGTAAATGTTACCTTTACTCTTTCGTAGCTTAACCCAACCTCATCAGGAGCTCGCATTATCGTTTTGTGCATATCCTTTGCTGTAGTTTTCATACCGCTGTCATAAAAAGACCTTAGGACACGCTTTTGCTCGTCAGTTAAAACATCATAACTCCTCTAATGAGTTGCCATATTGACAAACCGCGCAAAAGAGAAAAAAATACGTGGAGCTACCTTAAATGAATACCTCACAGGATGCTTAGGTGATCACCTCTGTCACATATATCCAACGTTCTAAAATTTAGAACTCTCGCTATATGTGATTTAGAACACAAGGAACGGGTGCACCGAATGTCAGGCTGACAGACATTTGCGTTTTAGGAGCTGTAACATTCAAGGACGAATTTGGGCTAGGATGAAAATTACATGTTCGGAATCTGTGTTATCTAAGCTTTCTATCGATACCAGTTTTTTTAAATGCGAAGCCGTTTTGTGGTGTTCACTTCCCTCCTATTTCAATGCGCATTTAACCTACATCACTATACGCAATTTCTTATGTCAGGCTGACAGACGTTTGCGTTTTAGGAGTTGTAACATTCGAGGAAGAATTTGGACCAGGATAAAAATGACATATTCGGAGTCTCTGTTATCCAAACTTTTTATTGATGCCAGTTTCATTAAATGTGAAGCCATTTTTTTATGTTTACTTCGCTCGTATTTCAATGTGCATTTAACATACATCACTATATGCGATTTTGAATGTCAGGCTGGCAGACGTCTGCGTTTTAGGAGCTGTAACATTCGACAACAAATTTGGGCCAGGATAAAAATTACATATTCGGAATTTGTGTCACCCAAACTTTTTATTGAAACCAGTTTCATTAAATGTGAAGCCGTTTTTTGGTGTTTACTTCGTTCGTATTTCACGGTCATTTAAGGCACATCACTATATGCGATATTTCGAATGTCAGGCTGGCAGACGTCTGCGTTTTAGGAGCTGTAACATTCGACAACGAATTTGGGCACGGATAAAAATTACATGTTCGGAATCTGTGTTATCTAAGCTTTCTATCGATACTAGTTTCATTAAATGTGAAGCTGTTTTATGGTGTTTACTTTACACGTATTTCAATGCGCATTTAAGGTACATCACTATACGCAATTTCTTATGTCAGGCTGACAGACATTTGCGTTTTAGGAGTTGTAACATTCAAGGCATAATTTGGGCCAGGATAAAAATGACATATTTGGAATCTGTGTTATCCAAACTTTTTATTGATGCCAGTTTCATTAAATGTGAAGCCATTTTTTGGTGTTTACTTCGTTTGTATTTCATGGACATTTAAGGCACATCACTATATGCGATTTCGAATGTCAGGCTGGCAGACGTCTGCATTTTAGGAGCTGTAACATTAAACAACCAATTTGGGCCAGGATAAAAATTACATATTCGGAATCTGTGTCACCCAAACTTTTTATTGAAACCAGTTTCATTAAATGTGAAGCTGTTTTTTGGTGTTTACTTGATTCGTATTTCACGGTCATTTAAGGCACATCACTATATGCGATATTTCGAATGTCAGGCTGGCAGATGTCTGCGTTTTAGGAGCTGTAACATTCGACGACGAATTTGGGCCAGGATAAAAATTACATATTCGGAATCTGTGTTGACCAAACTTTTTATTGATACCAGTGTCATTAAATGCGAAGCCATTTTTTTATGTTTACCTCGCTCGTATTTCAACGCGCATTTAACATACATCACTATATGCGATTTCGAATGTCAGGCTGGCAGACGTCTGCGTTTTAGGAGGTGTAACATTCGACAACGAATTTGGGCCCAGAGAGAAATTACATGTTTGGAATCTGTGTTATCTAAGCTTTCTATCGATATTAGTTTGATTAAATGTGAAGCTGTTTTATGGTGTTTACTTCGCACATATTTCAATGCACATTTAAGCACTCGTTCCGCGTGTTCTAAATCACATATAGTGAAAATTCTAAAATTTAGAATGTCACATATATGTGACAGAGATGATCATCTCAGCAATCTGACGTGTTTGAATCTAAAACAACTAGTAACTTGTTATGGATTTAGGAAAGCACTAATGGCGGAAAGCAGAGAGCAATTGTATAAACAAAGGCTAAAACGTTTTAAAGCATCCAAAATTCGGGTTAAGACTAAATCGACAAGTGGAAAAAAAATAACAAGAAATGTTAGGGCAGAAACCTTTGCAGCTGCGAGAGAGGTGTGCAGTTGTAAAAAATTCGCCATGTCAAAGCGATATATTTCTTGCTGAGGAAGATGATATTTCAGAGGGTGTCGAGGCTGGAAATGATGCAAAGCAAGACAGGGCTTCAAAGTATCTGTCGAGGCGTGTTAAAGAATATAGTAGTTGGAAAGACGTACGGCATTCATTGTTACAAGCTCGACTTCAAGAAGAAGCTTTCTCCTCTGACACGATGTGCGTCGAATGTTGCAACAGTTTTGCCGTTTGCGGTTGCATGAACTGTGGTCCACGGCAATATTTCTGTATGGACTGTGCTTCTGCGCTCCATGAAAAGCGAAATTATTTCCATGTCCTTGAAATATTTAAGGTTTGTGTTTATCTAGTATGTGGCAAGTTTTAACAGTGTTTATACTGTCATAAAACGTTTTGTGTTTTATCAGACCTTATGCAATTTCATGTACCATCACAACCATGGTGCTAATAGCATACAGGGTGTCCCAAAAAACCCCAAAACATTGAAAGAGTCTATTATTTGAGTTTGAATTCTCTGGCATTAGTTGCTAAGATGAATGGAAAGGTGTGTAAAATTTTGATAGGGTCAGATTATACTAAATATAATTGTAAAAATTATTGCTTTTTTGAAATATTGAAATATACACCTTTGTAAAGTGAAGATTTTTTTTTATTTGAATCTAATTTTAAATGCCAATCTTTTGTACACGTGTGGGTTGCAATCACTGCTAGGGCATTCAAATTATAACAATAGATCATTTCATACTGTAGTTTTGGTTTTTTGTGACACCCTGTATTGGCTGTATATATACTGTACTAGTTGTATGACCTGTATTTGAATAACATAAAACATTTGTTGACAGGTTTAATACAGATTAGATAATCCCTTCCAGGATTAGGGTGCATTGAGGCTCAATGGGTTAATATCAAATGTTTCAATTAATGGTGGTAGCTAGAGTAATACAGTTTTGTAATTCCCAATTTGTAGGAGGGATCTTTTGTTCCCTTAATGGTTAACCATGCTGTTATAGCATTGGAACATCAAAGGAAATGTCCTTCTGCAGAAAAAAGGAACATTGTGTGTATTGATCAATGGGGTAAGTTTTATTTATATATTTTTGTATACCAAGAATCCTAATAAATTAATTTCAGCAGTAATTACATTGACAGTATTACATTATACTTGACAGAACTAAACAGGGTATGTATAGACTTTGTGTGTAATTAGATCACATTAATTTTCATTGCTAGTGCTATATTTTATTAAAACCCTTTAAATTATAACCCTGCTCTTTTAAGTAAATAAAAGAAAATTGGCCTTGAAAAAATAGATTTTCCCTCAAATATTTGTCATATTGGTAGTGTAACATACTGTACTGTAGCTATTGCTCATGGGGTCAATGAGGTTTTGTTAATGTATGCTGTACTGTGTCTGCAAGTACTGTATCATAGAAATAGACATTGGACAATGGATTTTATTGCTTGCTTATTGCTTTAATGGGTTCTAGATGGTAGACCTCTGCACGGCCACGGGGTATAATTATTATTCAGCAACTCATTATTATTCAAGCGACTGATTATTATTCAGCCAAAGGTCTTAGACCTTTTAGCTGTTCGACCCCCCCCCGGATCATTAGTATTCACGCCATACAGTCGTCAGTTTTTCAGAGTTTTTCGTAGCTTCCGTCACAGTCAAAACACAACGCTAATGATCTTTCATCATTCTTTCATCAGATATACGTAACGCCTTCGTATATATTACCGTGACTATTGTGTTTCGGGTAGCTTGTGGGAGACATTTAGCAAGCATGCGTGTAATACAGAGCGCATGCATGGTTGTAAAACATCAAGCGCTTGCACCGGACTTCGTTTAAAGGCTTTTTGTTATTTATAGACTAACGTCCATGCTCCCTGTACGGCACGATTTTACATTTCGCAAACAATGGATAGAATTGTCTGTTCGGAGCCTTACAGTTATCTGGTCGCCACCTCTCCCATTTGTGAGAGCGCTGTCACAGCAGAAAAATACGAATTGACAAATGAAAATCTGAATGAATCTGAACTATTGTTGACAACAAGAAAAAATTATGAACAATATTCTGAACTCAAATGCTTGAACACAATGCTAATGAATGAACGTAGATCACGTTATAATAAATATATTGCAAAGATCAATTATTATCATGACTGCCATATTGTCAATCGTGACAGACGTGATAGAGCACCAAGTAGAATACCAGCTAAAAGATTTTCTCGAATCTTATGTAAAAGTAGAAGTGTACGAAGGTTGATGCGTAGATATATAAAGAAAGAAATTCCCAGATCATCACATGTGCATCGAATTCTTCATGCTTCTAGCCATGAGCGTAAACGACTGTTGAGTGATGGAGTCATGTATTTACCACAAGCCAGTTTAAAGAAACCCAAATTGCTCAAGGTATGTGATTTAAAATGTAGTTCACGTTGGAATCGAATTTCCAGAACTAAGAAATGTTCTAGGTCTGAACACATGCCTACAAGTGAATTAACACCATTCATTTTTAAAACAAAAAGCACAATACGAACGGCTTATACAAACTTGAACCACATGATTAACTGTTGCAAGTTCAGTCTTTGTACCGACATTGAAAAAAATCCAGGTCCAACATTTATAGATCGCAATAAAACACTTCATGCTCCATACAGTCAAGATTTTGAGGATGTGTTTCATGAAAATGCAGGCAAACAATGTGTGGCTATGAGTTTATGTGCTTTGCTATATAAGTACAGTCATGGTTCAATAAATTGCTCGGCAGACCTCGTTACAGTCATGGGTATTGGTAATGAACTATATTCTATGTTATCAGCAATAACTGGACAGGATTACTTATTGTTAACTGAGTTACCTGATAAGTTAGAAGTTCAAGGCACAAATTATGAACTTAATTTTAGTGAAAGTTACACTGGCCAATTGCACATGTTGGTGTCTAATGAAAATAATCCATATGTTGTACCTTTGAGACACACTTTTAAAACTTTGTTACAAGAAGGTTATAACTCATTTCTCCTAACAATTGGTTGTAATGCCGTGTCTGTTTATACACTTGCAAATGGTTTGTTCAAGGTTTTTGACTCACATTCAAGAGATTTAAGCGGTATGATTGACCCTACTGGTACATGTGTACTTTTGGAACTTGAATCAATAACCAAATTGATAGAATATTTCAAAACCTTACATAGTACACAAATGTTATTTGAGCTAAAAGGTGTTCGCATTAATGTTGCTAATGAAACTGAGAGTGCAATGCATTTAAATGTTACTTCACAAGAAACCTGTAATAATACTGTAACAAATACGTCATACCCAATTTGCGAACAGAAATGTTATGCAATATGTCATTATTCCATCTGTTTTTCAATAATTATGTTATGTAAATTTTGGAAAGATTACACACTGATGTCCATGTGTGGTGTATTATTTAATTATAACAAAGCCTTAAAAACTACTAGAACATTCTCACCAGATCACTTACCAAACACTGTAAATATTTATGATGCTATCATTCGAATATCTTACAATTTGGAGAAATGTGACACTTTGCTTTTATGTTCATCTAGTAGCAGGCGAGTTTTAAAGGATTTAATAACAGTTAACTCAAAGAATAATACTGGATTCTTGATGTGGTTCCCAAAATTAAGCATATCATGTATTTTCCAGCATGATGTCAGAAAAATTACAAGATATTTCCTTCTAACCTGTAATGACACACAGGAAATTGACGTGTTTGAAGAATTAGCTAATGTAGACCTTCTTGTTGACAACATTTGTAAGATTGTTTCGGGAAAACTGCAATGTGAACTGCTGACATACAATATTAAGTTTTTATCCTGCATATGTAATGGTTTAACAAATTCAGAAAGACAGAAAGTATTAAGAAAGGATAGGTCAGCGGGACAGAAACGATCACTTGCTGACAAACGTAAAGAGGCGTATAGTAATTTAGAACCTGTGCAGAAAAAGATATTGGTGGAAAAAAGTGCTTTGAACTATGCAAATATGGATGACAAGGAAAAGCAGTCACTGTACACAAAAAATAAACAAAAATATATCTGAATGGATACAAGTCAAAAAGAAACTCTTGTTGAGAGAAATATAAGGAGAAATATAGATCCATGACCGCTGCTGAAAAAGAAGCCTGTTGTGGCCAAAAGAGAAAAATATCAATCAATTAATTTAAGTGAAAAAGAAGCTCTTTCTCAAACCAATAAAGAGAAATATGGATCAATGAATGTAAGTGAAAAACAAGCTCTTGTTCAAGCAAATAAAAAGAAGTTCAATAAATGAATTTAAGTGAAAAAGAAGGCCTTTCCTTAGGAAATAAAGAAAAATATGGATCAATTAACTTAAGTGAGAAAGAAGCTCTCTCTGAAAAAAATAAAGAAAAATATGGATCACTGGATGCCAATCAAAAGGCGATTATCATTGAGAAAGGCAAACAACGATATAGTTCACAAATGTCGTCAAGAATTTCCAGTTCTATCGATGATTATATCTCACGATTTTCTAGCAAAATCTCTGAAGGACCCTATTATATTTGTTCGGTATGCAATCGATTACTGTACAGAAAATCTGTCGTATTATTCAATAAAAAGAAGTATGCGAACAATGATAACCACAACGCCGTGTTTACTGATATAAAATCGTTCAATAATAAATGATACATACATCTGTAAAATGTGTCACTCAAAGCTATTGAAAAATAAAGTACCTTGCCAAGCAGTTTGTTATAACATGTATGTTGATGACATACCAAGTGAACTTTCATCGTTAGAAAAACTTGAACAGATTCTCATCGCTCCGCGAATTGTTTTTGAAAAAATAGTAGTTATGCCAAAAGGACAACATCGTAAAGTTAAAGGAGCAATTTGTAATGTACCAGTTGAATGTGATAATACATGCAAAGTGTTGCCACGCCCACCAGAGAGATCAGGTATAATTATGTTGAAACTTAAACGAAAATTTCAATTCAGAGGCCATGTGTATTTTCAAGCAGTCCGACCAGAGGTTAATCGTGTTGCTCTTACTTGGCTAAAGTTAAATAACCCATTGTATAATGATATTGCAATTAATATTCGACAGATAAGTGAAAACCTTACAAACTTACGGCAAGATAACAATATATCAAATATAAATGAGGCAGATGGGGATGAAACAATTAAAAGTTTGCTAAGAGAAAATAAAGCATTGCCACAAGTAAATGATGAAAGTGAAGAAACTAGAGAGGACCCATTAAATGAATATCGCCAAGCAGCTAATGAGACATGCCTTCAGTCTGTGTTACCTGATTACCCTGTAGTAACAGAAACTAATGAAAGATCATCATTAGGTAATGAAGTGTACAATATTGCACCAGGTGAAAATAAACATCCTGTATCAATAATGACTGACACTAATTGTGAAGAGCTTGCATTTCCAGTACTGTTCCCCAAAGGTTGCTTTGGTTACACTAATGAAAGAGAAATTAAATTAACCCCAGTGAAGTATTTTAATGCCAGGCTTTTACATTACAGTGGAAGATTTGCTATGAACCCAGAATATCTTTTTTTTGCACAGTTTGTGATGGAACAGAAGAAAGTATCTGATAGTATTAACATACCATTGAAAAAAATTCATGGTCAGTCTATAACAGTATCACAAATAAAATCAGATTTAAATCATTTAAAAGGATTGATTTGTCAAGACCAGGCTTATTTGTTCTTAAGACAAATCCCAGGTACTCCACCCTACTGGCAAAAGTTTATGTATGAAGTTGTCGCCATGGTAAAACAACTTGGTATTCCAACATGGCTGACCTCAGATGGCCTGAATTGTTTCAGATTATTGCTAGAACTCAGGGTCAAAATATGAGTAATGAGGAAGTGGTGCTTTGTCATACACTGAAAGATGTTCAATGTTAAACCTTAATTAACCCTGTTATTGTTGCAAAACATTTTCAATATCGAGTTGAAACATTTTTCACTGAAATTCTTCTTAGTCAACTCAATCCAATTGGAAAAATAATATACTATGCACTTCGTATTGAGTTTCAAATGAGAGGCTCACCTCACTTACATGCCTTGATCTGGACCTCTGATTGTCCTGAACTTGACTCAGATAGCAAAGAAGCATATGTAAACTTTATTGATAACCATGTGCAGGCTTACCTACCGGATGAACAAGCAGAACCTGAATTACATCAGTTAGTCAAAATGTATCAAAAACACAGTCATTCCAAAACTTGTCGCAAATATAGGAATGATGGTTGCAGGTTTAATTTTGGTCAATATTTTACTAGCAGGACAATCATTGCGGAACTACTCAGCAGTGATTTAGATGACGAAATAAAAACTCAAATACTTGACAGTCGAATACAGATCTTAACAAAAGTCAAACAAAAAATCAATGAAGTACTAAACCCATCAAACTCAGACTATGATGAAAATATGAATGTGCATAATCTGAGAAACTTTGTCTTAGACAGAGGAACTGTATTCAATCACTATAAGTGTATAACATATGTATGCTCATATTTTACCAAAGATGAGACTGAGCGTTCTCAAGCATTTGTTAATGCAGCTAAAGAAGCTAAAACTGAAAACATGAGTGTTTGAGATGGTCTTAAAAAGATTGGTGCTGCTTTTCTTTCAACACGAGAAGTGAGTTCACAGGAATGTGTTTACAGATCATTGCCTTAACTTTGGTTAAGAAAAATATTTCCTAAAACTGTTTTTGTTAGCACAGACTTTCCAGAGAAAAGGGTACGAGTAACGAAAACACAAGAGGAACTAAACGAGCTAGATGATGACAGCACTGACATATATAAATCTAATGTTATTGAACATTACAGTATCAGACCAGCAAATATACTTGTTGTCAATAACCTATGTCTTGCCATGTTTGCTGCTTATTACTACAAAGACTATAAGATACAATGTGATTATATGAATGACTGTCAACCCGAGGTTTTAACAGATGATGTAATCGAGTCACAAACTACAGAAAATGATGTTGCAGAACTCCTTCCCAAAAAGATCAAGTTGCTAAATACTAATGAATATATGAAACGCCGCCAAACTAAGGCTGTTGTGAGATATCATTGACCAAATAGACAAAGAGAACCAGAGGCTTACTCTCACCATTTACTGATGCTCTATTACCCTTGGGGAGATGAAAGTAGTTTAATGGCACAAGATCAAACATATACTTCAAAGTTCTATGAACCAGAAGTACAAGCTGTAGTTGAACACAACAGAACAATATTTGAACCTGAAGCAGATGCCATTGATGAAGCTTTTGAGTCTGTTGTAATGTCAAGTGCTTGGGTTACCTGTGTAAATAGTTAGGTATAAATAGGACTGAAGATTTGATAATAGAGGTCGGCCATCTTGGTTTTGAACTTATGCAATAGTAACTTATTA